TAAATGCTAACTATGAAAAGTAAAGGTAAAAATATTTTCTTAAGTATAAAACAATAAATCAATATAAAAACTATTTTTCTAAGGAAAATATGAACAATAAAGAGTAATGTGGAAAATTAAAAACACACGAACAATTTATAGTGGTTTGACTTTCCCGATACCAACATCCACTCCATTGGTAACCAAGGAATTTCAACCCAGTATCAAGGATTCTTGCTTTTTAATGAGATAAAGTGATAACCATCACACAATCTATAAAAGGACTCTTGCCTTTTAACAGATCAAGCAATAACCTTTACAATGGCTTTTCCATGGGATCAAGCGATAACCCTTACACAATAGTGGTATTTAAAGACTCAACCACAAATACTCACCGAATTACTTTTCAAGGTTAAGCTAAAACCTTTAGAAGATATGTGTACGAAGGAGTATCAGCAAAGATTTGCCTCACAAAAGCTACATGCTAAAGCTTTTAGCTTGAGTGTAGTGAAAGAAGAAAAATTAGCAAAAATAAAGTAAGTATTCAACTTTGTAAGCTTAGTGGAAGATTGAAAAGATGCCAAAGAGTGAAGATCAGTTTATTATGGTCTCTTTAAAGTTTGAAACTTTGGTTCAAGTCTTCTCTTACTTCCAAATGACTCAAATGTGACTATTTATAATTGGGATAGTGTTTAAAGTTGTTAAATACAAGTTTGAATCAAATCTAATCGTTGTTGAAGGTTAAGGGTCGACCATTTTCTTTAAATTTCTCTAATTAGGGCTTCATAGTCAAGTATAACCTTTCTCTACTTGACCATATTCTTGAAAGCATGTATTTTGCAAAATTCAACTACTATAGTCAATTATGCCTCCTCTATAGGTGACTATGTTTGTGTAAAGTTAACTTTCTTCACTTTTGACTTGTCAAGGTCGACTATGCTTGGTCTAAGGTCAACTATGTCTATTCAAAACTTGATTTTCTTGAGCTTTCTAGAACAGGGTCGACTATGGACACTTCAAGGTCAATTATGGCTTTATAATTTTTAAGTTTTACACTTTTTAGACCTTTGGATAGACTCGAGCTTCTCTAAGATTGACCTTTGAGTTGTGTCCTAAGTTTTCCTAAGCTTTTTGGCTCTTCTCTTCACTTATTTCCTCCTTATTTGTTCTTACATTCAAATAACATTTTAAGGCATGTTTGTTATAGTATTTTTAGCTGACCATGCATTGTTTGAAAGCTTATAAGATGTTTTCTAATGATGCATGACTTTTCAAACAATTTTGTAACCTTATGGATTAAAAACATATTTGCAATAATTTCAAATGTTGGACGTTAAGTTCAAGATAACAAGTGACTTTTGTCAAATCAAAATGTCGCGTAACTCAAAGCTAACACAACCAATTGAAATAGTTTAAAATTCATGAAGCATGAAATGGCTACGAGCACTCTAATAGATTCTAGTCTAGCTACCGGAGCATAAGTCTCATCATAGTCTATAACTTCTTCTTGGCTATATCTTTTTGTAACTAGCATAGCTTTGTTTCTAGTTATTGCTCTATTCTCATCTATTTTGTTCCTAAAAACCCATTTTGTGCCTACAATGGGATTGTTAATTGGCCTAAGAATTAATTCTCAATTGGCCTAAGAATTAATTCTCACACTTGACATGTCTCAAACTGATTTGTTTTTGAATTATTGGTTGCTAAAAGTCTTGAATTTACACTTAGTTTCAAAAGAATTTTTAATATACCAATTTACCCCCATCTTGGTATATTGTTCATTGAGACTTCTACACTTTCAGGATGAATAATATTTAAATTAAATCTTAATCTTAATACAATCTTATCTACATCCAAATCTAAACATAAGTAATTAATTTTATAGTTTAAATCAGAGTACTCATGTGTTTGGCTTGTTGAGCTATTTGGCTTGTCTTGTTTGATGTGAACTCTTAGATGGTGACATAATAGATATTCACACATATATACATAAAGAGCAAAATAATAGTTTGAATATTGCTAGGACGGATAACAACCATTATCTTAGCTAAGCCTTAAATGTTACACCAAAAATTAGTAAATACAATTAACTGTTACATTATCACATTATCATGTAAAAGGCAATAATTATATAAATATCTTTGTACAATACTGCTTTATCTAAAAAAAAAACTACTCTATTTGAAAAGCAAAATGAATCAAACGCCTTACCTCTACGCAATTAGGAATTTCATAAACTTAAGGAATGAAAACATTACAGGAAAAGCAGGTCCATGAAATAATTGGAACGAATAACCCAGGTAGACCTGTAGGGGTAATAAATATATACACATAATTAGGAAATATTTTGGGTGAAAAAGGTTTAACTTTAACTTTTAGATTTTCAAAGAAATTTTTAATATATCCATTCACCTCCTCTTAATATATTGCATAATGATACTTCTACACTAATAGATACTTGTACATTCCTTGGTGTGTTTAAGTTTATCTTTATGTTCTTGAACTTCAATGATGTAATGCCCACATAATTTTGCTCTTATGTACATATATCTATATGTGGCATTATTAGTTTAATATATATTTGCTCCTAACTGAATATTTTCTTATGTTTTGATTGAATATATTGAATGGAAACATATCATTACGTTGGATTAATTGTTAAGAACGTTGATTTTAATACTTATATATTTGATGATTATCACTAACCTATATCTCTTGAGCTTAAGTGCTTAAAGCTCACTCTTATTAACCTTTTTGATCAAGCAAAAAGGTGAAGAAGGTTTAAGAGCATATTGAAATGCTCGAGTTATTTAAAGGCTGACACTTTTTTTTGAAAACATCATGCATATGTTGAGGGGGAGAATCTTAAAGTTCTTACTCATTTCTTACCCATCTCACTTAAACTTTAATTCCCTTAATGTTTTCAAACAAAGGCATAGAGACTAATATACTTAAGTGGAGCTTTCAAGAGATTTCAAATGCAAATATGCTCATGATTTTGCCATACCAAAATGGAGGAAATTGTTAGCATTGAAATATCTGATGTTTTGATTTGACAAATAGCATGACATCTTGGTTTTAATGACAAACATTTGAAATTGTCTAAATCATATATTTAGCCTCCTAAGATAATATAATTGTTTCGAAAAGCCATATATCATTACAAAAATATTAAAAGCTTTCAAACATAGAACATTTAGCCAAGAAAATAAAGAGCAAACATGCCTTAACTTGATTTTAGATCACAAGGAAGAAGAAAGGATGAAATAGCTGAAGTGAGGTGCCAAAATGATGAGAAATCTTGAGGAAACAAAGCTCTTGTCAATCCTAGAAGAGCATTAATCGATCTTATGGCAAAATGAGCAAGAACGAACAAAAAAACATGATTCGAGACAACCATAGTCGATCCTTTAAGGCATTGGTCACACGAAACTCAAACATTTATGAAGCTATAATTGATCCGCCTCTTGTGCCAGTCGATCCTTAACTAGAACAAAATGAAAAATCAAGCTAGATGGAGCTCCAGTTGATCTTAATCATGTAGCAATCGATCCTTGAATAGTAACATCGCCCAAAACTCAACTTCAAGTAAACTCAATTAAACCTTAAGGCATGGCAGTTGATGCTCAAGTCCAAAACATGAAAGTTACACACTCTTTGAAGTTGGATCGAGAATAAGATGAATTTAGTCAACTATTAAAGCCTTAATTTAAGATTTTTGAAGAACATAGTTGATCTTAGGTGTGTGGTAGTCAATCCTCAAGCTTCAACAATAGGTAGATTTGATTCAAACTTATGTCTAATGGCTCCAAACATTCTTGGCACTACAAATAAATGCATTTGAGCCATTTTGAAGTTAGGGAAGACCAACACTAAAAAGAAAAACTTGGAAGAGACCCTTAAGCTTATTTTTCATCTCTAGCTTTCATCTTAGTCTTCCAACAAGCATTCAAAAGCCAAAAAGCTCAATCATTTGAGAATCCTTGAGCTAATTTTTCTGAGATTATTAATTCTCTTCATACCAAAACTTAAACTTATAGCATTCAGCCTTTGTAAGGGAATTTCTTTTCTATATCTCTTTGTACACATATCTTTGCAAAGGTTCTAGCTTAACATTGAAAAGCTACATGTGGATTTGTGGTTAAGCCCTTTAAAAACCATTGTTGAATAGTTTCACTTGATCTCATGAAACTGCTATTGTAAGGATGTCACTTGATCTCTTGAAAAAGCTATTGTAAGGGTTTCACTTGATCTCATGAAAAAGCTATTGTGAGGGTTTCACTTTACCCCATAAAAAGTTTATTCCTCCTAATGGATTTGAAATTCCTAAGTGTTCCAAGAAAGTGGATGTAGGCATTAGAGAAAACTGAACCACAGTAAAAATCTTGTGTCTTGCTTTTAATTTTTCTACATTGTGATTTATTACTTGCTTTTGCCTTAAAAAAATATTTTACCTTAAATCATTATCTATGCTTTGCTTGCACTTGACTTAGGAAATATATTTTACCTTTGTTTATCACTTGTTCTTTGCAATTTCTTGCTGAAAAATTGCTTAAGAAAATCACATATTTGTTTTTGAATTATTGGCTGCTAAAAGTCTTGAATTTACACTTAGTTTTCAAAAGAATTTTTAATATACCAATTTACCCCCATCTTGGTATGTTGTTCATTGAGACTTCTATACTTTCATGATGAATAATATTTAAATTAAATCTTCATCTTAATACAATCTTATTTACATCCAAATCTAAATATAAGTAATTAAATTTTATAGTTCAAATCAGAGTACACTCATGTGTTTGGCCTGTTGGGCTATTTGTCATGTTTTGTCTAACGTGAACTCTTAGATGGTGACATAATAGACATTCACACACACACATATATATATATATATATACATAAATAGCAAAATAATAGTTTGAATATTGTTAGGACGGATAACAACCATTATCTTAGCTAAGCCTTAAATGTTACACCAAAAATTAGTCAATGCAATTAGCTGTTACATTATCATATTATCATGTAAAAGGCAAATAATTATATAAATCTCTTTGTACAATACTGCTGTATCTCAAAAAAAAAAAAAACTACTCTATTTGAAAAGCAAAATGAATCAAACGCCTTACCTCTACTCAATTAGGAATTTCATAAACTTAAGGATTGAAAACGTTGCAGGAAAAGCAGTTCCATGAAATAATTGGAACGGATAACCCGGGGTAGACCTGTAGGGTTAATAAATATATGCACATAATTAAGGAGGGCTAAAAGTTCCATGCAAAATCATCCATGGAGCTCAAATCACGACACATTGCTGCAGAGATGAGTGTAGACTCGAGAAGGCCAAGGTCAAAGCTACAACTGTCAAATGAAGCATCCATTTCGTGCACTTCTTCCCTAGCTTCATCAATTTTGTCGATTGCCATGTCGCATATCTTCTCTTTCTCTTGCTGTGGTTGTTCTTGTGCATGTATGCCTTCCACTGTTGGTGCTTCAAAGGTTTCAACGAAAGCGTTGGCCTCCCAAATGCAAGGATTTTCGTCCAAGAGATTATTAAACCCAGGTAATGGAATTGAGGAAGGAGATGAAGAAATAATTGTGCTTTCCACGGATGAACCATAAGGGAATATGGCGGATTCATTGGGATTCTGACCATAACCGGTTCCAACAAAGTTAGGGCTTTGACATTCAGAGAAGGGAATCTGCATGGCCATGGATCGATGAACTTGATCAGGAGGAGGTGGTGGCTCGGGAAGTGTAAGAACAGGTGCTTTCATCATCACCCTTGGGGCATCTCTATTCTGTGAACTCATATTGAAGACTGTGAAAGACTGTTCTTGTGTTTGTGATGATGAATGGCATGCAAGTTTATTAGAGGCTCGTTGACGAGAAGAGAGCAGATTGTGCGTTTTTGGGTCCAGGCCTTGTGAGAGCAGCTTCTTCTTAATGCAAGAGTTCCAAAAGTTCTTCACTTCGTTGTCTGTTCTTCCGGGGAGGTGCTTGGCTATCTGAGCCCATCTGTGGAAAATTAACACATCCAGTGAAATTGGAATCATGTCCTAACTTTTTCTAAGATCTATATATTAATGGATCCTTTATCCTTGACTACCTGTTGCCTAAAATTCTATGAACGTCGATGATTATCTGTTCTTCTTCAGCCGTGAAGGAACCCCTTTTCAGGTCTGGTCTTAAGTAGTTTATCCATCTCAATCTGCAGCTCTTTCCACACCTCTGCAAGCCTGCAACACCATTAATTAGAAGTTGGAACTAAATTCCTTGGGAGATTTTGAATTAACGTCGCTATTTCTTTTCTCAGCTATTTTATCAAGTGTACTTAGTTAATTATGGTATAAATGAAAAGAGTTGTGCTTGAATACTATATACCAGCAAGTTTTGGAACGGAGCTCCAGCTGCCATGGCCATGGGCAGTAATATGTTTGATGAGCTTGTCATCTTCTTCAGGAGACCATAAGCCTCTTTTAACTTTCTGTTTGCTGCAACAGCGATGGCCCATCCCAATTCCTCCACTCCCCCTTTGACTACTTTTCCTCCCAAAACTCAGCTCATCAGCCTTTTAGCATAAGCGCCTTTCACTCCAATGGAGAGGTTTCACTCTTTCCAATTATTTAAAGGGAGACCCTGGTGTCAGAGAGGCAGAGAGCGATTGGTCAGTGAAAATAAATTGCATGGAATTGTTGACATGGCTGGGCGGCAGCACATGAAATATGAGTACATGACAAGCCTGGTACAAGGCCCACATTCGGTTTGTTTTGTTCAATTTTGGGGCAAAGAGAACTACAAGTATTGAAAAGAGAAATACAGAAGCTTCTTTGACGGTCTTAAAAGAAATAAATATGTGAACATTTGTCTTTCTATCATTTCTACACCATTCATTATACTCAGAATATAAGATTATAAGACGAAATAACATTATCTTATAGATATGATGCAATTCCCAAACTAAGATCACATTGGGTCCCACGGCCCCACCCCCCACTGATATTAAATCGGAAACAAGGTTTTGTCAATTGGAGTACATCATGGGTTCACTTGTTGGTCACTCTTTTCTTTTGCTGAGAGTGACCTTGCTGCTCACTCTCATGATGCTGCCTTGTACAATTAAAGAATAAAGAATATTTATACTTATCAAAACCAGCCTGGTTATTTTGCTAGCATAACAAGGAAAAGCCTCTCCTCTTAACACAAAAACACGAAACAAATGTTTACTAACAACGTCAAGGAGGGTCTTCTTTGCTGATTAGTTCTATTTCTTATGGTTTTCGCATCTCTGTTCATTGAATTTTTCCTTCCATATGTACATGTCCAAAGGGAAACAACAAAAGTTCATCAGAGACCATTGGTCCAGAAAGCCAATTATCTTATAAATGTGCTGGAATTTTAACTTGGGGTGCACTCATAAGGGGTAGGGCCACAAGGTATAATTGAGTGCTTTGGAGGCTTCATCTCCATCCATTAAATTTCAACCCATTATAATTGTTCAATAATAACCCTTATTATGGTTTGTAAAATCCAACAAATGCACAGATCATGTGAACTTGTGAAGCAAACATTGGCCACACTCTAAGATCTTTTATATTCATGATTTGGCCACAAAAAGTAATTCACAAATATAATAATAATAATAAATTTGCACAAATTTTTGTTATTGGATTGAGGGAATCGAAAATGCGATGTGAGATTCTAAACGTTGCTTCCATGAATTCAAGAGACGACTCCCACCTTATATATGTAATATAGCACTTGTTATCTCATGTGTACCAATGGGAGGTAGAGTAACTCTTATTAACTCCGCATTAAATCTCTTCAAAGTCCCAAAAGGTGTAACAAAGAAGATGGATTCTCTAAGTAGAAATTTCTTCTAGAGGGCAATGAGAAGCATGGTAAATTTGTGAAAGTTAAAAGGGAAGTAATACGTCAACCAAAGAAATTGGGAGGGTTAGGTATTGTCAACCGTAAGAATAAGACTTTGGCCCCTTTAAGTACATGGTGGTGGCGTTTTGTGTGTGAACATGATCCCTTTTGGAGGAAGATCGTTGAAGTGAAATATGGGGTGGCAACTCAAACTTGGATTCTCTCATCTGAAAATCGAGGTAGAATGTCAAAGGTACAGGGAGATATTACTGATCTACAAGCCATCTAAAGAATCCCAAGTGTAATTGGAAAATGAGGGTTGTTACTAGGTCCAAGGCAAGGGTACTAGCATCATGTTCTGGCAAGACGTTTGGGTAAGGGTGGACTTAAAATTTTTTTTGAGTGTTGTCATAATTAAAATAATAATAATTAAAAATATTTTTCCTTCAAGATTTATCGGGAAAGTACTTAGATTAAATCCAACCCAACTTTACTTAGAAGATTGTTCAGTACCATCATTAATAAACTTACATTACTATTGCCTAGAACCTGAATCTTATAAGATAATTTCTTGTATTTTAAAACATTTTTTCATAACTTATTTATCCAAAAACCTGTTAAAAATTACTACTCATTTGTTATCAGTGTAAACTAAAATATTAAAATTAAATAAAATATGATCTTGCATAACATATTATCAAGTTCAACAACTAACAATTTAACAAATTTCTTCTCATTAATCAAAACTAAGTATAAGCATCCACAAACGACATAAAGTTAAATACAAAAATCAAATAATTAAACAATATATCTACAAAATAAATCAAATAGAAAGACTTATCATTTCAAAATATTATTTGACATGCAATACTCTTTTCTATTAACTAAATTCTACTTAAGTCCCAAACAATCAAATTAATCAAAAAATATTTACACGTGAAGTATTTAAAAACTTAATTTGGGTTGAAAATTACTTACAGTTGAATCCTTGATGAGTTGTTTTGAGAGAGTGAACAATGCAACCAAGGATCAAGAAGAGGAACCATTATTATAGGTTTCAAGGGTAGGACTTGCATTTTTGGAGAGTGGGAGTAGTTTAGGTTTTGACTTTTTTAATAAAATCTTAAATTTTAGAAGAATATTTTTTTTGTCTTGCCATGAAATATTTAAATATTAATGTATAAATTACTTTTTTGATAAATTTACTTTGACTTTGAGTCTTTGACGCCACTTCGTACAAAAATGTAAAAAAATTATTGGGTCCATTGGATATTTAACAACCTAAAACTCTAGATAAATATTGTATAAAGTAAAAGCTTTTGTTAAATGAATGGTGTCATGTGACACCACTCACCTTAAGGTAGGTCTGCCCATGCGTTTGGGTGGAGGGTAAGCCTCTAAAATTGTCTTTCCCTAGGTTGTTCCAAATAGCTATTACGATAGAGGTAAATTAAGGTGTCTACTTATGTTCAAGAGGTTGGCTCTATGTTGTCCAGTTGGTGATTTGGCTTTATATAAGGTCTATTTGAGTACGAAAAAAGGAGTCATTCAAGGTCCATTTGATTTGCAGCAAGAAAAATAGAGTAGTGTGGAAATTTAAAGAACATGGTGAGTTCTCAATTAAAAAGATCTCTTCAACCCTATGCTATAACTTGTATTCTTTGCATGACAGCAACCTCCATGTGATATGGAGTCTCAAAATACCTTCAAAGGTACAATGCTTCATAAGTTGCTTGTTTGGACTGTATTCTAACAAAAAGTTTCTAGTATCAAAGGGAGTAATGATATTGGAAGAGGAAAAAGATTGTCCTTGGTGCTTTTTTGTTAAAGAGTGTTGCAACCATTTGCTCATGAATTGTATATTTGGAGAGAAATTTTAAAATGGTGGGGAGTAGTAGATGTGTTCCAAATTTAGTCTCTTTCTCCATTAGTGTGACTTTTTAAGTAGAGAAATGGGTGTCGAAAAAATTAACTCTCGATTTGCGGGGTAGCTATTTTGGTCTTTTGGGGTTTTACAAATGAAATTATGTTTCAAAAGAAAAAATAGGAATAAAAGGATAAGATTTTCCTGATAAAACTTCACTCTTTGTTTTTGTTCAAGGCAATGGAAAGGGATGATGGCAATCTTGAAGCAAAATGGTGGACTAATTTGAGAATAGCTTTTAAGTAGAGTATTTCTAAAATATTTTATGCATAAGCATTATTCAATAGGAACCTTCATAAGCTAATTTCTTAAAATATGACATGGATGGCTCTACTATAGGCAAACCTATATATGTGGGGGCAAAAAGGTGCTAATAGATTAAGTAGTTAATATAGCCAATTTATTCTCATGATCAATTGTAATTTCATAATCTAATTATGCTGAGGTTTTTGCCATTAAGGTGGTACTTGAAATGCTTTGTAACTAATAGTGGATTAGCACTCCAAGGTTGTTGTGTTTTGGGTCCTTAAATCTGAGGAGTAAGTTTTATCTTTAGTGCATTGTGGTTTTTGTTATTTGTTGTTCTGGATTAGGCTATGGTCTTTTTGTTGGCCATATTTGATTCCCAGGTATGGTATGTCTTGGTTTTGGGTGGTATTTGTGTCTACCTTATGCTGGTATTAACTCTTTTAGGGTATTTATGTTTTGTTTAGGTTATTTATGTTGTTCATGTGAAATTTGAAAAACAAAATTTGAAAAATTTCTTGTACGTTGATGCGTATAGATTCTCACCTATACTACTTTTAAGGTAATTAAGTCATCACGCTATGATGTTGTTAGGATTAATGACAATATCCTTTTGTAAGGTGGGCCAATGATATTAATTCTAATGTGGGTGTTATTCCCTCAAAATACCTTGGGTTGCCTTCGGGGTGAATAGTTTTTTGATGAGTATGTGGTAGCCGATCATCTGTAAATTGGAAACTAAGCTGGCTTTACGAAAAATGAGAACCTTGTCTATGGGAGCTAGAGTCACTCTTTTAAGATCGATAATGTGTAGCTTACCTACATTTTATGTGTCTTTATTTAAGATGCTTGCTACAACGCAACATAGTATAGAGAACATTCAAAGGCAGTTATTGTGGGGAGGCTCAAATTTAACTAGAAGGATTCACAATGTGAGATGGGAAAATGTATTTAAAAGTAGAAAGATGGGTGGGTTGGGTTTAGTGGATTTGGAACTTAAAAACAAAGCCCTCCTTAATAAGTGGGTTTAGCGGTATGGGAATGAACTAGAAGAGTTTTGGAGAAGAATCATTGTAAAGAAGGCACAATTGGACAACAATAAGTTGATTCTTAGGGTCAGGGATAGAAAATGGGCCTAAAAAATGTGGCAAAATATTGTGCAGCCGCTGTTGGGGGAAGGTAAGTATGGGAGTGTCATGATTGGTGGCATTGGCATAGTTATTGGGAATGGTAGAAAGGTTGGGTTTTGGGATAAGGAATGCGTGGAAGGGTCTATACTTAAAAAAGCCTTCCCATGCTTTGTCAATTAAAAAGGAGGTAAGTGTATAAGAGTTTGGAGAATGGCAAGGTGATAATTAGGTTTGTAAAATCAATTTGAGAAATATATTTGGGTGTGAGATGCAGCAGTATGGTCAATTCTGAGCTATTATCGAGGAGCAAGTTTTAGGAAGGGAGTTTGAAAATAAAGTGGTTTAGAAATGATTCGCTAGTGGTCAGTATACAATTAAAAGTTT